CTTTTTTTTTTTTAATTTTTATGAGGTTTTAATGAAATCATGAGTTAAGCTCTACACAGAGCGAAACAATTTCCCCGTAAAGGCTTTTTCTCCGCAACTTTTGTCTGTGTCTTCATGCATAATTATCCACCGAAATGTTTTCAGTTAAAGGCTGTAACTTAAAATAAAGTTCAACTTCCAATTGTAGCTGAACGTGGATTGGTCAGCCCGACAATTTATTATCCAGTCTTTCAACTCTTCACCAGCAAAAACGCCAAAGAGTTCCATGGGTAAACTCATTTTCCTTCTATTACTAGAGTCTTCTATTGGAGAACGACTCTTTCCCGTCTTCATAACATTTTCACTTTATGTTACTCAACGATTTCCACGGTCACGTAATGAAGAAAATTGTCAGAAAATCTATAGAACTTTCGTTTTTCAGATTTCTCCCCTCCCCAAAATTAGGAAGGGTAAAAGAACGTAAATCTTTCCTTTATATATATATTTTTTTGCGGAAACGTTAGGTTAGCAACAGCGGGGCCAAACAGTGGCGTCCTCGCTAAAAGGTTTCCTCTGCAGCTGACGGTAATAGATCGACCTGAGGAGGCGCCTCAGAGAACTTATCTCAAGGCGATATTTTTACCTCAGACAAAAAGCGCTTCCCTCTTCACACAGTGAACCGAATATCTCCCCACTTCATTGTTTCTTTGTATTTTGGTGTGTTGAATATGTTTAACAATATGCGGGATTTATTTTCCACTGGTGGAGCAAACCAAATGTAAACATAATAGGCATTTCACATCACAGATAATGAATCGTTATTTTTTTTTTTAGAATCTTAGGACACGTGAAGAGGTTTTTCCTGCTTTTTTAAGTGATGTGATAAGCCTAAATATTTATTTTTCAGAGGAAGATCAATAAGCCTACATAAGCCATCGATCAAATGACCAAAAGCTTGACAGAGCGGATCATTATGTGGCTAAGACCTGCAATGAGAGATTATTTTTCATTTCACATGATAAACAAATGGTCACCACCATTTTAACTTAAACATCTTTAAGAGAGAACGTATAGTTAAGCAGCATCACAAGGCAAGGGACCGAGTATCAATATCCTGCTTCAGGTTGATGTTGACTATCTTAACGACAGCGAGATAGCCAAACTGACAACTTATTGTTCCTTCAATATCTGACAACACGCTGGTCCTGCTTTCAGCATTTGACAGCACGCTGGTCCTGCTTTCAGCATTTAACAAAACTGTTGATTTTGCTTTCAACATCTGACTGCACCTTCAGTCATGTCTTCAGCATCTGACAACACCACTTCTACTGCCTGCAATTTTTAACAGCTCTTTTTTTTTACCTTTCTTTTGTCTCACAACATCTTTAGTCCTCCTTTGAGCCTTTGACCGCAGCTTTACTATTACCTCCAACAGCTGACAACACCTTTGGCCCTGTCGTCAGCGTTTGCCATCTCCTTAGCATTATTCCCAGCATCTTCCAGTTTAAAGATTTTAAATTAACTCATCATTACAGGAACGTAAATGCATCATTGTATCTGATACCAAAATAATGTTACCATTTAACAAGACGCAAAATAATAAAGGAATTATCAGTACTCCAGTCTTCATGAGAAAAATTGACGGGCTCTAAAGCCAATAGCTGATCACACGGATTGTGGGGCTACGTTGGGCTACGTGCTGCTTACACTAATAACTAGATTCATCCAGGAATGGGTCTCGCGGAGATGATGACCCCTGGAATCATAAGGAGGACCATATGGAACAAAATGTTCAGAGAATATTGTCTTCTAACGCTTCCAAAACTTTACTTAAATATATGATAAAAATAAATCTATATAAAATAACATATCCAGTGTATATTTATAAAACAATTGTATATACAAATATTGTATATCTTCCAATTTAACTATTGAAAATATCATGGGTATATACACCAGGATGAGTATAACTCCCAGTGTATGCTCTATACTCGTATGCTGACAGTTTATATATTTTTTTTTAAGAATTAAAGGATCTTTGCCTAGTGGTGTACAGAGAAACTGCAACCTCAGTGACCCCTTATGCAGTCGATAGATATTAAATCTATCCAACCAACCAACAAAAAAACATATATAGACAAAAATAGAAGCATCATTTTCAATTTCACCCTCATTTCTCATTATATCAATGATGCCTATTTTGACCACTCAAGAATTCCAAAATCGAGTACATTTCATCCAGCTGATGTATTAACAATAAGGGAAATTGCTTGATTCCCGTGTTATCACTGAAACGATCCAATTTCATATCAAAGGCCAAGAAAGACACAATTTCCTCCAATTTTTCACTTGACTTCTTAATACTTTTGATGGATGAGAGCATTTTTCCCAGAAATATTTAGTGAACTGTTCGAAAAATATAATTAAATTTTAAATTATATCTTTCGAACAGTTCACTAAATATCTCTGGGAAACACGCTCTCATCCATCAAAAGCATTGGAGGAAATTGTGTCTTTCATGGCCTTTGATATGAAACAGGATTGTTTCAGTGATAACACGGGAATCAAACACACTCACGCGCGCTTGTTGGAAGTCGAAGCCTCTCGCACACAAAACCTCCTCCAACCTTTCCTAAGACGACTCTTATCCTTCCTTCCTTCCACTACAAATTTATACCCCTCCAAGGCATTCTAATTTGTTTCATTCTCTCTAAATGTCCGAACCACCTCAACAACCCCTCATCAGCTCTCTGGATAATACTTTTAGAAACCCCACACCTCCTTCTAATCTTCAGGCTATGGATTCTCCACAAAATATTCACACCACACATATTGCCCTCAGATTCTACATCTACATTGCCTAAAGCCTTCTTCTTGTTGCAACATTCACCACCCATGCTTTACACCCATATAAAAGTGTTGGTACCACTATACTCTCCTACATTCCCCCCTTTCCTTCCAAGGATAACGTACTTTATCCCAACAGATTCCTCAGTGTACCACTCACCCTTCTCTCCTCGTCAATTCGTGTTTCATAGACTCATCTGCTGACAAGTCCACTCCCAAATATCTGAACACATTCACTTCCTCCATATTTCCTCCCTCCAGTTTGATATCCAGACTTTCATTACCTATATTTTTTGTTATCCTTATCAACTTGCTGTTTCCTATGTTCACTTTTAATTTCCTCCTTTTACATACCCTCCCAAATCTGTCCATCAGATATTAAATAATATATATATATATATAAAATATATATATATATATATATATATATATATATATATATATATATATATATATATATATATATATATATATTATACATATATATATATATATATATATATATATATATATATATATATATATATATATATATATATTTATATTTACGTATATATATATATATAAATATATATATATATATATATATATATATATATATATATATATATACATACATATATATATATATATATATATATATATATATATATATATATATATATATATATATATATATATATATATTGCCGAATAAGTAAAACTTGGGATTTTGGCATAAATAGAACACTCTTCTTGACGAATAAGGCAAGCGAAAATTTGTGTATACAATGATTTCGCAAAAAACATTCTGGGCTTAATTTAAATAAGTTCTTGCTAATTGACCAGTTTTACTTATTCGGCACGACACATATATATACATATGCAGAACAACCACTGTGAAAAAATAGTGAAACTCCAAGCGCTTTCGTGACTTCTCACATTATTAAGGAACTATAAAAACAAAACATCAATAGGAAGGCATATAAAGGGGCAAGACTACACCTCACAATCACATCTTACCCCTTTATATGCCTTTTTTTCACAGTGGTTGTTCTGCATATTGTGATATCACCTGTTTACTGTGATTTTATACTTCCTACACTTTGTCAACCACATTGAAAACTTGCAAGGAAATAAAAAAAAATAGAAAATTTGAATATATATATATATATATATATATATATATATATATATATATATATATATATATATATAATCAGTGACAAACATGTAACAACATGTATTAGACATGTATCTTTCACATCTCATGTACTGTATATATCATCTTTATATCAACAATGTATCTCTTAAATCTACCATATTATGTAATAAAATGTACCTATTGCTATATATATATATATATATATATATATATATATATATATATATATATATATATATATATATATATATATATATATATATATATATATATATATATATATATATATATACATATATATATATATATATATATATATATATATATATATATATATATATGTCGTGCCGAATATGTGAAACTGGTCAATTAGCAAGAACTCATTTAAAATTAAGTCCTTTCTAAAATTTTCTCTTATACTTTTAAAGATATATTTTTTTTATTAATGTTGAAGCAAAAAATTATAATTTTGCACCAAAAGGAACTTAGAAAACTTACCTAACCTTATTCTAACAAGAATAATTTATTTTAGCCTAACCCAACTAAATATATTTTAGATTTGTTTACAATAATTTCATACTAAACAAACACAGTGAAATATATTTTTTTCGTTAGGTTCAGAATGATTTTGGCGAAATTATTGCATACACAAATTTTCACTTGTCCTATATGGCAAGATGAGCGTTGCTATTAAGCCAAGATCGCAAGTTCTGCCTATCCGGCACGACATATATATATATATATATATATATATATTATATATATATATATATATATATATATATATATATATATATATAATATATATATATATATATATATATATATATATATATATATATATATATATATATATATATATATATATATATATATATATATATATATATATATATATATAATATATATATATATATATATATATATATATATATATATATATATATATATATATATATATAATATATATATCGTTTATTTACGTTTGTCAGTATTTGTCATTATATGGTCATGGTTTACTTGTTTTCAGGTCCATACTGTCCACGGACGTTCGACGGCTGGTCATGTTGGAACGACACCCCAGCTGGCACCAGAGCTTACGTTCAGTGTCCCGACTTTGTCATAGGGTTCGACCCCCAGCGTAAGTTCTGTCTTTTCTCATTTCCAAAGGATGTCGGCAATTTTTCCAATTTTCTCCCTGTTAGAATTCAACTAAGATATACAGTAATTGAAACTTAATACTTGTTTCCTCTCTTTCTTTGTAACAGTGGTCCTTTCTCTGTACCAGTGGTTCTTTCTCTATACCAGTGGTTCTTTCTCTGCATCAGTGGTTCTTTCTCTGTATCAGTGGTTCTTTCTCTATACCAGTGGTTCTTTCTCTATACCAGTGGTTCTTTCTCTGTATCAGTGGTTCTTTCTCTGTATCAGTGGTTCTTTCTCTATACCAGTGGTTCTTTCTTTGTCCAGTGGTTCTTTCTCTGTATCAGTGGTTCTTTATCTGTATCAGTGGTTCTTTCTCTATACCAGTGGTTGTTTCTCTGTATTAATGGTTCTTTCTATATATCAGTGGTTCTTTCTCTGTCCCCTTGTTACTTTTAGATCGAGGTAGAGAAAGCTAGACTGTTGTTAATTCTTCTCACGAAAAGCTCAAAGTAGAGTTTATGGTCTTCTGTTAGCTACTTTTCCCATGTATTCTCATATTTACTCTGTCTCTGTCTGCCCCACTCTATCTGTCTCTGTCTGTCACTCTCTACCTGTTTCTGTCTGCCCCCTCTCTATCCGTCTCTGTCCCTGCCCCTCTCTGTCTCTGTCTGTCTCTGTCTGCCCCTCTCTATCTGTCTCTGCCCCTCTCTATATGTCTCTGTCTGCCTCTCTCTATCTGTCTCTGTCTCCCCTGCTTTTAACATTTCTGTCTGTTTCTCCCTATGTGCCTCTTTGTCTCCCTCTCTCTCTCCCTATCTCTCTCTCTCTCTCTCTCTCTCTCTCTCTCTCTCTCTCTCTCTCTCCCTCCCTCCCTTACTCTCCCGGGTATCTCCTGTTACATTTCCTCACAATTGACAGTAACATCATTGGACATTTATCGTTGTGTTACGCTTACCCGCTAATTCTTAGTGCAATGGGAAATGCAATGACTTATTCTCCGAATTTTCACTTCAGTTCTCTTAGAGCGAAACTGACTCCATTTGCATATATATTGCTTTGTTAAACACCAATTTTTAGGATAAGGAAAAACATTTGATCTGGCTTAAGGTATTTCTGAGTGTGTTTTATTGGTGTTGCACGTGTTTGTAAGTGAACAGGGAATGTAATTATCTTTTTTTTAGAGATGTTTGAGTGAGTTTTGTCGGTGGCTGCATTTTTAGGGGAAATAAGTGGTGGAGGAACTTGTTATAAAAGTTTGTTGGGGATATATATTTATCTGTAACTGTATGATGCATCTTTCACACATTCCCACACCGCTGTTCGATACTCCCCACCAACCAGTCTTCTCTCCCCTTCCCAATCTTTATCCTTCGCTTCTACCATCCAATCCCCATTTCGTTTCCACCAATCTCCTACAGTCTTCCCTCCCCAGCACTGTGGTGAGGCACCTCCTAAAGCCTCACAGTAAATTATTAAACAGTGGGAGACGACAGGCAAGACTAAAGCCGCTTGACCAAGGTATGGAGGCGAACCTAAAGTGATAATTACACTTAGGTAAGAACTAAGGAATAGTTACCACTTTTCTTCAGAAGTCTCTTCTTATTCTTGGTGGTGGTGCTGGATAGTTTAGTGCTCTACTGAAGGTCTCTACCTATTGGTGGTGCTGGATAGTTTTGTGCTCTACAAAAGGTCTCTTCCTGTTGGTGGTACTGGGTAGTTTAGTGCTCTACAAAAAGTCTCTTCCTATTGGTGGTGCTGGATAGTTTAGTACTCTACAAAAGTTCTCTTCCTATTGGTGGTACTGGAAAGTTTAGTGCTCTACAAATGGTCTCTTCCTATTGATGGTACTGGATAGTTTAATGCTCTACAAAAGGTCTCTTCCTATTGGTGGTACTGGATAGTTTAATGCTCTACAAAATGTCTCTTCCTATTAGTGGTACTGGATAGTTTAATGTACGGCTATAATCCTATTAGACAACCAGAAGGTCATATAATCTTACGTGACACCCAGAGGCCCTGAGTAAATCCTGTGACAACCAGGAGGTCTTAAAGATTTCTTATAAGATAACCAGGAGGCTTAGAAACTTAATATACATTACCATGGAGTTCTTCGGTTATTTTTCTTCAACTCCAAAACTTTTCCTAATTCAAAAACTCAACGTAAACACGTGGCAGCTAACATGCTCTCAGTTGTGTTTAACATGAGCAAGACTCAACAAATATTTTTGGCTCTTGAGGATCAATTAAGTCAAAGTAAGTACGGAAGTCATCATTAGGTAGAGTATGAAAAGTTTTATGCTCTTGGTAATGGAAAACTTGGGGTTAAGTATATAAGCTCATTATGCAAAAATTTGGTCACAAACAAAATTAACGAGCATAAACATTGACATCAACACATGATAAAAAATACATATTTTCTTAGAAAAATGATGCATAAACATTTTTTTGCAGAGCAAAATCCCTTGAAATTTTTTTTTAGACAAAAAAAAAATTATCCTCAGCAAAATTTTCTGGTATTAACTAAGTCACTTATACTGATTTAAAAAGCTTTAAACTCTGAGAAACTGAAAGATGGAAGCGGGACCCCAAGTTTTTTTTAAAACCTTTCTAGCGAAACTGAAGGACATCCGCTCTTGTATGAGTGTTTGCCACCTGCACTCATGTCATTTTTTCGCTCAAACGTAGAAGTAAATATACTCAGAAGACCATAGTAGTATATCGAGCGCCCTGCGCGCGAGCCCGTTGAACAGAGGAGTCAAGGAGGTGGACACAGAATGACAAAGATGTGGTGATGCGGAGGATAAAAGACGATACCATCAGCTCTATGACAGCTGGATAATAGTTCGGGGTCTGCCCACTTAACGGCGGCTTCGAGGCTCGTTCGGAGGCTGACGGCTATTCCTTTCTAATAACAGCAACCAGCCGGCACTTACTTTTTATTCTATTCTCTTGTATTTGTATTGACATGGAAGAAACGAGTCTTGCTCGCAATAATTTTAACCTATATTAATCAATCTGACTTTATGCGATCAGGTATAAATTATACACACACACACACACACACACACACACACACACACACACATATATATATATATATATATATATATATATAAATATATATATATATATATATATATATATATATATATATATATATATATATATATATATATATATATATATATATATATATATATATATATATATATATATATATATTATATATATATTTATATATATATATATATGTATATATATATATATATATATATATATATATATATATATATATATATATATATATATATATATATATATATATATATATATATATATATATATATATGTATGTATGTATATATAAACATACATATTTTGCTAAATAAAGCAGCCTAATGAGACAAGCCCTATACAGACTAACCAGCATAAACGAACTTGAGTTACCATTATGGTGGTACATAACCATCCGCAGGTTAACCCAACCCTTTTCAACCTATTTTAACCACCAGCTTTATTTGACTGAATCCAAAATTGACTCTCTACCAAAGCCAAACTTCTTTCACAACGATAAATCCTCGCTGAACACTGACGGTTCTATGCTCTAAGCTCCCCTAGCTAGTTACTCATTCTAAAAATACTAACTAATGCGTGACACCTCCACCCTGCAGGGCTCTAATCACCCGACATTAGGAATTATAACTACCGCTGGGACGCAGTCAGAGATAAATGTCCCTGTTGACAATGATACTATTTATGGTACCGTCCAGTTAAAATTTTTGCATATGACAATTGCCATAATTCGCATAAATGAAGTCAGAATAATGAGGCTTGCCTAGTGGTTGGGGGAATGTAGGAAGAGGGGAATGGTTTTGGGGAGGGAGATGGGAGGGTTGTACAAGAGGGAAGGGGAGAGTGGTACAAAGGAAGGGGAGGGTGGTACAAGGGAAGGGGAGGGTGGTGCATGGGAAGGGGAGGGTGGTACAAGGGAAGGGGAGAGTGGTGCAAGGGAAGGGGAGTGTGGTACAAGGGAAGGGGAGGGTGGTACAAAGAAAGAGAAGGGTGGTACAAGGAAAGGGGTGTGTGGTACAAGGGAAGGGGAGGGTGGTACAAGGGTAGGGGAGGGTGGTACAAGGGAAGGGGAGGGTGGTACAAGGGAAGGGGAGGGTGGTACAAGGGAAGGGAAGGGTGGTACAAAAGGAAGAGAAGGGTGGTACAAGGAAAGGGGAGGGTGGTACAAGGATAGGGGAGGGTTGTACAAAGGAAGGGGAGTGTGGTACAAACGAAGGGAAGGGTAGTACACGGAAAGGGGAGGATGTTACAAGGGAAGGGGAGGGTGGTACAAGGGAAGGGGAGTGTGGTACAAATGAAGGGAAGGGTAGTGCAAGGAAAGGGGAGGGTGGTACAAGGGAAGGGGAGGTTGGTACAAGGGAAGGGGAGGGTGGTACAAGGGAAGGGGAGTGTGGTACAAATGAAGGGAAGGGTAGTACAAGGAAAGGGGAGGGTTGTACAAGGGAAGGGGAGGGTGGTACAAGGGAAGGGAGGGTGGTACAAGAGAAGGGGAGTGTGGTATAAATGAAGGGAAGGGTAGTACAATTAAAGGGGAGGGTAGTACAAGGGAAGGGAGGGTGGTACAAGGGAAGGGGAGTGTGGTACAAATGAAGGGAAGGGTAGTACAAGGAAAGGGGAGGGTGGTACAAGGGAAGGGGAGGGTGGTACAAGGGAAGGGGAGTGTGGTACAAATGAAGGGAAGGGTAGTACAAGGAAAGGGGAGGGTGGTACAAGGGAAGGGGAGGGTGGTACAAGGGAAGGGGAGTGTGGTACAAATGAAGGGAAGGGTAGTACAAGGGAAGGGTAGTACAAGGAAAGGGAGGGTGGTACAAGAGAAGGGGAGGGTGGTACAAGGGAAGGGGAGTGTGGTACAAATGAAGGGAAGGGTAGTACAAGGGAAGGGTAGTACAAAAGAAGGGGAGGGTGGTACAAGAGAAGGGGAGTGTG